GGGGCGACCCCTCCCCCACGAATCAATCAATCAATCAATCAATCAATCAATCAATCAATCAATCAATCAGCCGTCCTTCAGCAATCCTTCCGTATTGAGTGTGGCGTCGTTTTCCAGAATCGTCACCAGTGTTGCCACCGGAGTCGGCACCATTGACGATATCGACACGAGCATCCCCATCTCGCATAAGGAGATCGTGAAGCAATGGAGGTGTTGAGGATCCCGACCCGCCTCCCATGTCACAATCGTCGTGCCGAAGAAGACGTCGAGCCCAATCAAAAACCCTGGACAAACGGAACACGAAAGTCGCCAACCGATCTACCCCAGAATCGTCAGTAGACGGATTGTGTCGATAGAAGTCTGGCCTCGCACGAATAGAAATCATAAAAGGTCTGCGTGCACGGTACTCGACCGGTTCGCACCACACGTGACTGTTCCACCGAATCACCGTGATTGTCAACCACACCTCGTAAGACTTTTTCATGTATATGATAATTGTGCCTGAAAAATCTACACCGTCGACGTGTGACGGAACGTAGTGTAGTAGAAAATGATGTTTGTGCTGCAATGTTTCTCCAAACACTCGACAATTACTTCATCGACAATGTCGTCGTAGGTGTATAAAGGCAAACGTCCCGAGCCGCCTCCCTTCTCACACAAAATTTATCTTTTCCGAATGCACCTCGTATGATTTCCTGCCCAAATGATCCGCGATCATCATGATATTGTTATGCAGAGTCTCAACATCTCCACCCTCATACCTACGAAGCTCGGAAGTGGGGAGGAACCACATCCAAACCTTGTGTGCATGAAACTTTGTCATACCACCAGGATCGATAGTTAAACGCTTGTCGTTCTTGATCGTACCATAAGGGTACATCTTATTCAACACAACCACAACGAAATCCAATTTTTTCAATCTCTCTTCCTTTGTCGTCAAAACACCCGATCCAAAATTTGCCACAAAAGCCGTCAACATGTCCTTCTTCATGAATTGCATAAGTGGAGACTTTGACACACACTGATGAACGCCACGCAATTTCTTTGTCTCCTTCAACGTCAAGATCTTTCGGAAGTGTTTGCGAATGTTC